CGAGGGCGTCTCTATGAGGCAGAGAGCCCGAGGGGAGGTCTGCATCTGTGAAGAAGATAGGTTCCCCCCTCGGCCTTTTAGTTGGGGGCATGTGGTTGACCTCCCCAACGTAGAGGGATTGTGCCCACTTCTTTCGTTGGCTGGTGGTATCTCCACCAGTGTTGCCACCATTAATCATGTGGACATGGCGCTTGTATTGTTGATGGGAGCCCTCTCCCTCGTCATCGAGACCCCCAATTTCACGCTTCTTCCCCTGTGGGTTTCCCAAGGGGATGGTGTTGGGGTTCACCCACTTGTTTGCCTTCGGCGGGAGACCTTGATGATGAGGGGGGGCCTGGGGAGGAGGGCTCCTGATAAATTGAGACAAGTGGCCCGCCTGTATCAGCCTCTCAATGGCGTTTTTCAGTTGATGGCAGTCGTCGGTTTTGTGTCCATGGTGGCGGTGAAAGCGGCAATAAGGCTCATCAGGGCCGATGGCATAAATCTCGAGGGGTGTACGGGAGTCTCGCTCCACAAGCCCTCGCTCTTCCGCGTGATCCAAAATCACGCTGACGGGATGCGTCAGGGGAGTGCGTGGGTGCTCAAGGAGGACGGGTTGCGCCCATGCCTTCGGGTTGTTCTTGTAACCGCCCCCGGGTCTGGCTTGGCCACCACGGGGGCGATCGTTGTACTGGGCCTCCCGGTTGGCCGGAGGGGGAGGCCCTCCGAGCCGATTTCTGCCTTCGTTTTTCTGAGAAGGATCCGTGTTGCGGCGGTCCTTCTCGATTTCCTCCGCCTCGGAATATCTGTCCCCTCGCTGAAGGGCTTTTGTGTAATCGCGAGGGAGGTCAGTGATAAGGCTTCGGGAGAAGTTACCGTTGCGGAGGACGGTGTGGAAAAGAGCCATTAGTGTCCTGTCGTCGGCGCCTTCGACCTCGAGGGAGGCCTGCCTCCAGCGTTCCAGGAAACTCCGAAGGGTTTCCTCCTTTTGTTGCCTCACATTCAGAAGGTGGGAGAAGTGTTTCTTTGAGCGATGTCTCCCGGCAAATTGCGTAAGGAAGCGGTGGGCAAGTTCTTGCCAAGAATCGATGCTGCCTTCGGGCTACCGGTTGAACCACTCATACGCTGGTCCCTCTAAGGTGGAAAGGAACCAACGGCATAGGTACTCATCCGAGGCCCCCATCATCATCATGCTATTTTGATAGCGGCTATAATGTTCTTGGGGGTCCGTCTTCCCCTCATACGGCTTGATAGGTTGCCCCCGATATTTGTGGGGGATTTTGGCCGCCAGTACCCTCGGAGTGAATGGCGTTCTGGTGCGGAGCTGGATGAGGGGCTGTCGGAGCTGGATGAGGGGCCGCCAAGTTTGCGCTTCATTTCCTCCACTTGCGCCCGGAGGTCAGCGTACTCCGGATCCAGCCTTGCCGTGGAGGCTGTCGGGGGTGCCTGACGATTCTCCTCAAGCTGTCGGAGGAGGGCCTCGATGATTTCGTCCTTGGGATCCTTCGGGGCAAGCCCTTGGGAGTTGGCCCGGAAGGACTGCGCCTGATTGATTTGGTGCCTGGCGTCATCGGCATGGAGGAGGGCTTTGCCTTTGCTCCGGGGTGGAGGCATGCCCTCGGCTCCCGAAGCGGAGGCTCCACTATCCTGAGGCCTGCTGAATTCCTGCTTGCCGAGGCGGTCTTGGACCCCTCGGCGCCCGGGAACTCCCCCCAACCTCTCAAGTGCAGAGGTTTGGGGTTTTTCCTTCATCATGGGGCGCTTATCCCTGGATTGGGCCTCTTGGGAGGCGGTATCCTGCGCTATGACCCCCTCGGCGTTGCCTATCCCCGGGGGAGGATTGTTGAACAATGGAGGGAGTGGTGGCAGTTGGATGACATTCCCTCCAGCGTAGGGCTGAAGGGGTGCTTGAGAGACGAGGGCTCCGGAATTGAGAGCCATGTTTTGGACAAAGGCCGCAAAGGCAGCCTGAAGATCGATGGCCGGGGCCGGAGGGGGAACTTGGTTCTCACTCCGATCCCTCCTTCGATTATCAAGGCCAATGCGGGCATCAGGGGCATTCTTCTGTAGCTGCTGACGGAGGTCAGCAGTAGCCTGCTCCAATTCGAGGATGATACCACCCTCGGGTACTAAGAGCCTGTTGGAGGCCTCAGCCCCGTTAGTTTCGGCGGGGGCCACGTGGTTCTCCTCGAGAGTTTTGGATTGAGCACGAGTTTTTCCCATTTTCGGTGGGTGTTTTGTGTTTGGTAGAGGGGGAGGGTTTCTTACTTGATTGTTCAGACTTCTCAACGAGAGCACCAAATGATGGACAGCCTACCCGGGGGGTATCCTATCCGAGGGGTTATTGCGGGAACAACTAGAGAGAAGTCAGAGCAAAATAGGAGGAGAGAGAGTCGATTTTATTAAATGAACTCAGTGTTGGGATGTGGATCGTTTACAAGGAGAAATGGGCTGCTATTTATAGCAGCAATAAATGCGATGAGAGTACACGTGTCAGTAATCCAACGGCCGAGGGGTCACATCAGCCGGGTGGCACCGGCAGTGGTACGTTCACCGCATTGAATGCGGTTGGCGGATGTGACGTGGCATTAAATGCGGTGGTTGGCTGTCCCCAAAAGGAATCTTCGATGATTGAGCATGTTTGGCCGAAGGCTCCTTGTGTAGCCGAGGGCTCCATGTGACCAAGGACCCCTGTGTAGCCGAAGGCCTTTTGTGACCGAAGGCTTCTCTGATACCGAGGGCTTGATAATGCCGAAGGCTTATGTTTTTCGCCGTTTTCTCCCAGTAGCTTCTTATGCCAGAGAAGGCTATCCTGTGAGTTTTGGAGCCTTCGGCCACGGAGGCCGAAGGCACCCCAATGTGTATTCTGGGCTACTTTGAGGCTTGGGCCGTTGCATTTGGGCCTGAGTTGTTCTCTGGGCTCAATGGACTTGTGTAGGAGAAGTAGGAGTCTATGGGACGGGGGTTCCTGGGCCATATACTCCATCAATGCTGTATGCTAAAACCCTTTAGAGTAAAAAGAGATTTTTCTTCGTATTCAACTTACATGTGAATTTTAAAATTACTCTTGTGAGTAAAAGCTAAGCTCAATTTTTTACCATGCATGTTTTTTATAATCTCATACTCAAGTGACTTGCGTACTTTGACAGCATAACTATTTATTGAACATATTCAGTAAATGTGAGTGTTGATCTATGTTAATAAGATGCTCACATACATTAAGGTTCAAAAGATATTTGTAAAAAAAATGCATTATATGCCAATTAAGCTAGGTTCACTTGTTTCGATCATGTTAAATGTGTTTATTTATTCAAAAAAAATCATTCAAAAAATATTCTAATCGAATTTGTAAGAAACAATATTAATATTGGGCATTAATCTGTCGTGCAACGCACGTCACAAAAACTAGTATTGAAATAATTTTGAGGTTCAACCGTAGTGAGAGAATCTATGCCTTCTTTCTAACTCTCCATTTCTCGTCCTTTCAAACGGAAACCCTAGAATTTTCTTTGACGCCACCTCTATAACCTCGCACTCCGATGGGGATCCTTCACTCGCAACCCGCTCCTATGCGGACATAGTTGCCAGTATCCGTGAAAAACTTCCCCAATGCTAAACTTCCCCACGCTCACATGAAGCGGACAAAAAACAGGGCTGTAGCCATGATTAGAAACACACAACTCTCTAGACCCTTTGCTAAACTTGGTCGTCAGCACTACAAAAAAACAGGGTTGTAGTCACGGATTTTAGTCACGGATTTTGTCCGTGACTAGTTTGTCACGGACTAGTCATGGATTTAAAAAAAGTTAGTCACAGATTTGTCACTGACTACGTCCTTGACTAAACTTTGTCACGGTAAATATCCGTGACTAAAGGCCTCCGGTGGCCCCAATTCCGTTCCCGGCGGATTTTATTTTATTTCGGTACTTAGTCACGGACAATCTCGTGACTAAAAAGATTAAAATTTTCAACGCTCGGAATTTATTTCGTACTGGTAATTTGTACGAATTAAATTAGTCACGGATAAATCCGTGACTACATCCGTGACTAAAAAAAATTAAATTTTCAACGCTCGGAATTTAATTCGTACTGGTAATTTGTACGAATTAGATTAGTCACGGACGAATCCGTGACTAATATATATATATATATATATATATATATATATATATATATATATATATATATATATATATATATATGATGAACAGATTCATTCAATAGAACCACACCAATTCATTCTCAGTAGATAATACAGTATCTATTTGAAAGATTGAAAGATGTAATCTATCTTATGTCATTTTCCCTGTTTATGCATATAAGGTACTCCGTATGTCATTAGAATTATGTTTTTTTTATTAAGAATTAGTTGGTTCATTTTAAATAATTAAAACTATTAAATTAGTGAGGTTGTTAATTAAATAACAATATATTTAACTATAAACGTAGTGATGTCATAAAATTAGTTAAATTTTTAGGTTTATAAAATAATTTAGTTAAAATTAGTTAGTTAAACGTAGGTTTAAACGTAGTGATGCATTAAGTTAAATTAATTAGCTAAATTAGTTAATTTTTTTATAATATTAGTTAAATTTAAATATTAGTTAATTCAATTGGGTTTAAAAAAAGGTTGTTAATTAATAAACGAAATAAATTAGTTAAAATTAGTTAAACGTAGTGCTAATTAAGTTGTATTTAGTTAAAATTACGTAAATTAGTTAAATCTTTGATAATATTAGTTAAATTTAAGTATTATTTAATTCAAATGGGTTTATATATGCTCAAATTATTTGATTTGTCTATTAGCAATTATTGTTAATGCCTAATTTAGGATTTATAATGGTTTAAGTTAGGATTGAAACATTACTTTAGTGTGAATTATTATTTTGAATTATGTGAATTTCATTTAATTTAGTTAGTCACACCCGTTTAGTCACGGATTCCGTCCGTGACTAAATCCGTGACTAAAAACGTTAGTCACAGATTTTTAACACTACGGTCCGTGACTACGACCCTGTTTTTTTGTAGTGCACTAAGCATCATGGTTTCATCGGCATAAGGATACCTAAAAAGGCTAGATTCTCTTGCTCATGACCTCTGATTTGCTCTCATCGGTAAGTTTCCTAATGGTCAACCTTCTCTGAAAAATCATTCATAAGTTTTTTGAATCCGTTAACATCCATTCTTTAAACATTGGTGTAATCTACAAGAAAGAGACTAATATCTCCTTCCATCTCCAACAAAGATGCTAAGACTGTATTCGATGCAGATCCAGAAACCAATGGGTTATCTACAAAAAACCCATGTTTATAATTAAATGATATCCTAGATAATACCTGGAATCATCCTTTCCCCCTACTGAATTAACCTTCCACATATCCCTTTTCATCTGTTTGATAAATCCTTTCTTTTTGAACTCTACTTTTGCCCAACCCCTCAGATGTGAAAAAGGTACATTGAAACAAAAGCCCTTATGTGGCGAGGGTTCAAAAATCGAACTCTTAAAGCCTATTCCTGACCGAATTTGGTTAGACGATGAAGGCTTTGACGAACTGTTTTGGAGGCCTATAAAATTGGAGGAACACTTGTCAGCCTATTGCAAAATTGCTTTATGTTTGGCCACCAAGAATCTATATGCACCTTCCATATAAAAAATGTTGTTACCTCTAATTAATTAGCTATTTTTAAGAGTTCAGATACACAGATTTTTAACATGCCTCCTCAAGTTTTAGTTGCAAAAAGTGCTTCAAAGGATCTTAACACCAGTTAAAGAAAGGAGAAGGTTCAAATGGATGAATCCTCTAAAACACCAACCCCTCCCAACCCCACTCCCCCTTGAAATTAACCTGCCTTCCCCCACTTCCAACCCACTCCTCACACCTCCATCCTCCTCCCATCCCCCCTCTAGACTTTTACCTCACTTGGGACTCAGTTGGTATCTAGGGCGCTCATCATGCTATGAGCATTCAGATTGCTTCTAGCCTTGCCACCGGTGCAAATGTTTCATTGAAATCTATCCCTTCTTGTTGGTTATAGCCTTTGACAACAAGCCTAGCTTTGTTCTTTGTGATTTGTCCATACTCATCAAGCTTGTTCTTGAATACCCACTTGAGACCTATCGCAGTCTTGTTCATGGGTCTCGGTTCTAGATGACACACTTTATTTCTATTAATCTGATTTAGTTCTTCCTGCACTGCTAGAACCCAGTCAGTGTCGGAGAGAGCCACTTCATGGTTCTCTGGTTCTATAAGTGATAAATAAGTAGAGAAAGCCCAAAGATTTTTAAGTTTAGGTCGAGTTGTTACTCCCTGATTTAGACCGGTTAAGAGATTATCCAAGGGATGTGCTCGATGAAGCTTCCACCCCTAGGAGCATTAGGCTGGTTCACCAACTCGTATAGTGTATCTGAACCTGTTGCTTCTAGTTCTATAGGTTGAGTAGCCTTATTCTGTTCAGTTTCTTCTACAGTTCCAGACATGTCAACCTCATTGGTTAGAGGTGGTTCTCTAGTTTGATGATAAGTTTCACTTTTTCCTTGAGGTTGTGTCTCCTTGCGTATCATTCTAATTTCCCCATCGTCGGTTTGGATTGGTCTCGAGGAAAGTGCTTCATCAAAGATCACATGAATACTTTGTTCCACGCATTGTGTGCGTTTGTTTAATACTTTGTAGGCTTTGCTGTGTGAGGAGTACCCGAGGAAGACTGCTTTATCACTTCTAGCATCGAATTTGCCAATATTATCCTTTCTATTGTTGTGGACGAAACATTTGCATCCAAAGGGTCTTAGATGACTAATGTTGGGCTTCATCTCTTTGAGTAGTTCGTAGGGTGTTTTTCCTAGGAGTGGATGGATCATAGCTCGGTTGATGATGTAGCATGTTGTGTTTAAACCCTCAGCCCAGAAGTTCCTGGCTAAACCACTAGAAATAAGCATTGTTCTAGTCATGTCCTCCAGCGTTCTATTCTTCCGTTTTACTACTCCGTTTTGCTGAGGAGTTCTAGGGGTCGAGAATTTGTGGTCTATCCCTCGTTCCTTGCAGAATGCATCAAAGAGTGAATTGTCAAGTCCGTTCCATGATCCGACCGCACCTTGATTAATTGTAGACCTGTTTGGTGCTCAATCTTCCTTACAAAGACAGCAAACTCATTAAAAGTATCTTTCTTGCTTGCAAGAAAGATAGTCCATGTATACCTTGAAAAGTCATCAACAATAACTAGAACATATTCTTTTTTTCCCCGGCTACAGACTGACATTGGACCACACAAGTCCATGTGAATTAGTTCTATGGGCTTGCTTGTGCTCACCAAATTCTTTGTTTTAAAAGATGATCGAGATTGTTTTCTGATGGCACAAGCGGAACAAATGTGATCAAGTGAATATTTCATATTGGGCAGTCCAACAATCAAATCATTATTTTTAAGTTTATTTATTAATGAAAAACTAGCATGCCCAAGCCTTTTATGACATAGTAGGGGATCATTATCAATAACGCTTAGGCAAGTCAAACTAATATTAGGCAACGAATCAAGATCAACTTTATAAGTATTTTCGAGCCTCTTGCCTTCTAGTATAACTTGCTGTGATTCGTTATTAACAATGCGACATACATTATGATAAAAAACAACACTGTTACCTCGATCACAAAATTGAGAAATACTTAGCAAAATAAACTTCAAACCCTTGACTAAAAATACGTTATCAATTGCATGGTTAGGTGACTTTCCAACTTTGCCCACGGCTATAATCTCTCCTTTGCTGTTGTCTCCAAATGTCACCTTTCCATTGTTAAATGGCCGTAGTGAGAGGAATAAAGATTTGTCTCCAGTCATGTGCTTAGAACAACCACTTTCAAGGAACCAGTGATTGTTCCCCCTCACTCGGCATTGTTCCACGATTAAGGTTTAGTGCGTGGAACCCCAGACCTGCTTGGGTTCCATTTTGTATTTGTCTGAGGAATATCTAACATAATCAAAACATCTTTCTAAGATCTTTTGTCGAGAGTCACATTGATACCGTAGATGAGCAATTATGCCACAATGCATGTAAACTCGGTTATCATACGTATTTAGGTTTCCATACGCCATAAAATCCTTTTGTTCTTTTATGAAAAGTTCGGTTTGGCATTTGTCCATTGCCGTTTCTGTGCCTCTGAACCATTCTGTCGAACCAGTGTGGTACAGTTCTAGATTGCTGTTGATATGGCCTATAACTGGTTTGTCCTCTGGTTCTATCTCCATTAAAGGATTGATTCCGAAAACCAGATTTTTGATTAGATTGAGTATTTCTTGGAATATATCCGAGACCAACAGTCTCGTTTTCCTTTTTATTGTGCCGAGGGGGACCAGTTCCAGAATTAGGTCTAGACCTGGTATTGTTCTTGGCACTGTACGGTTGGTATTCCGGTTTATTTTTAAAATCTTGTCTCTCAGCTTCAAGACGATTAAGATAATTGTTTAACACACCAATGCTCGTAATTTTTGAGAAAAGTTTTTCATCATGATTAACTTGTTTGTTCATAATATTATTTTGTTCTAGAACCACATCACTGTACTTAATCCTTTCATCTATTAACTCTCTTACTTTAGTTTCAAGCCTTATCTTGGCTCTTGTGGCTTCCTCGAGTTTAGACTCAAGCTCAGTGATTTGTGATCTAAGATTGTCATTTTCAGAAAGATTTTGGTTACGCTCGATAGTCAAACTTTTGAAAATTTTCTGAACTTTGGTTTTAGGTAGAGAATCAAACCTAGATAGAAAGCTTTCCAAATTCACCTCAAAGTTCTCTTGGTCGGATTCCTCGTCGGATTTAGCCATAAGACATAGACCTGCATGGTTAGAGTTCTTATCACTTTCCTCGTCCTTCTCATCGAATGAGTCTCCCCAGGCTGCCATCATTGCCTTCTTGAGATCTCTATTAGATCCTTTGTCTTCGCTGAACCTCTGGTTGGAACTGGATTTGTTCTTGTCATAGGTTCGCTCATTTTTCTTTTGTGGAAGTCTTTAATCCTGTGCTCAAAGGAACCACAAACAAAATAGTCTTGGTATTTAAAAGATTGAGTGTTCTTTTTACCTTGTTTGTTCCGGTTGTTTTTGAACTGTCGGTACATTTTCCTGAATTGATTTGCAAACATGCTCATCTCATCATCTGATTCACTTTCGAATCTTCATCTTCCTCTCGAGCTTTTAGAGCTATTCCTCTTTCTCGTCTCACGTTCTCAGCATCTTGTTCTTCTTGAAGTCCTAACTCATATGTCATGAGTGAACCCGTCAAGTTCTCGAGAGTCATGGTGGATAGGTCCTTTGTTTCTTCTATTGTCGTGGTCTTGGGTTTCCACACCGAGGGCAAACTTCTCATGATCTTCCTCACTTGATCTTCCACGGATATAACTTTTCCAAGGGCTGAAAGCTCATTGATGATATTAGTAAAATGTGTAATCATATCCCTAATTGACTCTTTAGGTTTCATTACGAACAATTCGTAATTACGCATAAATATGCCAATTTTGGATCTTTTTAAATGTGAGGTACCTTCATGAGTAACCTCGAGCAAATCCCACATTTGTTTTGCAGACTTACATCTTAGAACCCGGTTGTGTTCAGCAGGACCAAGTCCACAAATCAAGTATTTAAGAGCTTGGACATTGTTCTCGAGTTTTTGATAATCATCAGTAGTAAATTCAGCTTTAGGTTTAGGAACAACATTACCTTCGCCGTTTAGCTTTGTGATAACATTGTCTCCGCTTTCTATCACATTCCATACCTGATAATTTCCAGCTTTGATATAGTTCTCCATTCGGCTCTTCCAGAACTGATAGTATTTGCCATTGAACAATGGTGGTCGTTGAGTCGAGTACCCTTCTTCCGATTGGTCAACCGTATTCATTTTTCAGGATCTCTTCCCAAGGTATTAACCTCTATGTAGTGAAGACCGGCTCTGATACCAATTAATGAAACAGTTAGCAACACAAGGGGGGGTGAATTGTGTGTGTGGAACCGTGTCAGTTTTCCTTAGTCAAGCACACACTTCTTTTTGCTTTTGGCTGCTCGAATATATAGGCTGCTTGAGATGAATCCGTTAAGGCTTCTTTCCTTAATTAGATCAATAATGATACTTGCGTTTATATTTTGAAAAGCTTTCCATCTTGAGAGTTGTATCAAGATTAAGGGAATAATTTATTCACCTAACATAATTAATCATGCAACGGACCATGCCCAAATCCTAATTCAAAAATATTCATTTAATATTTTAATCAAGTATGGCTATTCGTATGGTAAGGAAATATTTACTTAAACAAGTATTTGAATCCCACAGTCAGCTTCTATATCAAGCAAGAGATTTAATTCATGAATGCTATGGTCAATCAAATCATGTGCTAAGCAATCTACCAAAAATATTTATTTAATACTTTAAGCAAGAAAACCTTTTCTAGATCGTGTGATAGTTACTATCTACTTAGCACGTTCGATTGAGCTAAGGTCAACTCTTTACAAGTGTAGCAGTACTATTAAGAATACTTTCCATAAGCTATATATGTTAACAGATTCAAATGAATGTCTAATCAGGTATGGAAAGGTATCACACGAAAATCATAGCCATGCAATCACTAATTGTGACTCATATAGACCTAAGTATAGTTCAGTTCTAAATAGAACATATAACAGTTCTATCCAATCGTTCACCTACATGGTTAGTTGTCAATTAATGCATAAGTGTTCACTTGAATCATAGAGTAGTTCTATCATTTGTTCCTATATGGTTAGTCATCAACAAAACTAAATATCCAACAAACGGTACAATCAATTTAAGCCTAGAAACCTCAAGGACATTCCAAAAGCACAGTCTAGACTCTAGCCAGCTCACAAAGACAAAGTTTAAAGAAACATTTTGCAAAATTTTTGACATAATCCCCGCAAATATACAACTAACACCTGCGCATGCTGACACAAATAATCTCATGTACTAACTAATGCCTGAAAGCCTAATTCACTCCCAACACTTAAACTTCGGCATCGGTCTCGATGACCAAAAATGCACTATGCACAAGGGGTAAAGAGAAAAGGGTATGATCTCCAGATGGCTCTTGAACATAACTATTCAAAGGCGAATCTCACACAACCAGACTTGAAAAGACTTGGACTTGAGCCTTTCGAAGAATATCACGTATTTGACAATCCGGTCTCAGTCATTTATCTAAACCATAACGATGAGAAGTTCCTGATGATTGTTGATGAAGTTCACAAATACTGTGATGGGACCCTGAAGATAATCCGTGAACAGCTTAAACCAAAGAAAGACGAACTCGACAAGAAATCGAAAGAAGCTTCCAAAGATGAACTCAAGGAACTCCAAAGGACAGATAACATTCTGAAAGCAATCGAGAAACAGCTTGACAGAAGAAAGTGTCTTAGGAACTACAAGCATGCACTAAATCTGTGCAAGCACTACTAAAGAGCTCAGAAGTGAAGATACCCAGCAAGATGGCACTCGATCACAAAGGGGGAGATTGTTAGAACTATTTTATTGTGAATAAAGTTTGTTTGTAATGTCTTGTTTAATAAATTATAATAGATGTACCATTTATGGTATTAGTATTATTATGTAATAATTGGTAGTGAGGGAATAAGGCCCAAAAAGGCTTAGGCCCAAACTCTCATGTATACCTAATTAGGTAACCTGTACAGTGCCTATAAATATGTGCGTCTTGTACAGGTACCACAGTCGATTAATACATTCTCTAGCCTTACGCTGTCAAAACAGTTCTCGATATAATAGAAAGAAGAATTTCTCTGTTCTCGATATTGCCTTATCATTATCAGATCTTCTCTTTCTCTATTTATCGATGAATACCATTTAGCTGTGTGTTAGTCTACAGAAATCTGGGGCCAACAAAATTAATGGCTCTGAATAATGCAATCAAGAAATCCCTGAAACCTGATCAATTTTTTCCTTCAGGGACAAAAATTGTAACACTTGAGATTTAATATAAACGGATTAATAGTACTACTCATACCAACAGAGGTGCATCTCCTTTTAAGGGAGCTCATCACCCAAGAACTCCAAAGTTAAGCGTGCTTGCACGGGAGTAGTCTTGGGATGGGTGACCCCCTGGGAAGTTTCTCAGGGCGCTCATGAGTGAGGACAAAATGCGCGGTAAAGGCTCGTGGTGGTTTGTGAGTAGACCTGCACAAAACCGGGCCGGCCCGCCCAGCCCGCCCGGCCCGCCCATATAAATGGGCGGGTTTGGACACATATTTTAGCCCACCGGCCCGGTCCGGCCCGGGCCCGTTTAAATCATGGGCGGGCTTGGGTCGTAGTATAGGCCCGGTCGGGCCTAAAAGCCCGGCCCGTTAAATAATATATATATATATATATATATAATATTATATATATACAAAATTTATAACTTTAAAGAAGGCCACTGCTCTTAGATTGGTTTAATCAATTATATATGTACTTTTTATTGTTGATGTTAGTTTGATATTTGAGTGATTTTTATTTTTTGGAATCGTTTGTGTATTTCATCCAAAATATATTTTTATGTCGTGAGTACATTTATTGCGTTTAAAATGTTGTGTTATTTTACATAAGTTTACAATTTTTACAAATTTAGGAGGATAGTTTTTCTACCATCGTGTACTTCTTTCCCTCACAAAAAAGAAAAAAAAAAGAAAACATACGCAGTATAATTTTTTCGGGCCCGATGGCCCGACGGGCAGCCCGGCCCGCTCTTTTGGGCGGGCTTGGACATATAAGGAGGCCCGTGGTACCGGGCCGGGCCGGGCCCGCTCACTACATATGGGCAGATTTTTAAGAATAAGCCCGGCCCGAGCCCGGCCCGAACCCGCGTTTGTGCAGGTCTATTTGTGAGGACAGTACTAGAGGTCTGGAGTAACTACCTCGGGTCCTGCGGGGCCGGGGTGTTACAAAAATAGAGTCCATCCCTTTATCAATGATCTGAATTAAACCACCATAAGAATTTGAATTGAAAGGAATTATAAAATTGCCGAACTCGAATCTAAAATTCACCCAATAATCCAAGGAAAATTTAAGAATGGAATCCCTCAACCACAAAATAATATCCAGATCAAACACAATTGAAGAAATAAAACCCGATTTGACCTCGGATATACGAACAGATTTGTCATAGCAATTAAAAAGATTTTTTTCACTTTCAATATCAGTTTGCTTCCTGTCAGCCGAGTCCCCCATGTCACTGGTATGAAGACTTACAATAGCTATGTGTTCACGACCTAGGTCGGAAGTCCCTTCGTAGGTTCCACTCTGGTCTCCAATCTGGCTTGTGAGGTTCCATCTGTCCAATAGCATGATCCCTGAGAAGTAGCCATCTACTCCGTACGTTGTACTACCATGGATGCCAGTATGCCACCTTGCCTGGTGACATTCATGTAATTTCCATATTTATGTTTGTGTTTTTAATTAGTTAGATTGATTATTACTTTGGAAATTACACACTTTCGGTGTAATAGTTTAGTTTGTAAAAATGTTTGTAAATTGTAAAATTAGGTTTATTCTGAGCTCAAACAGGTCCAAGATCACTCTAGGGACCATTGGTGAACATCACAAGTGGAAGGAAGGTGCAAAAATTCCAAAACAAGATGAAGATTCTGAATTTTGGTGTTGTACCCGGTCGGGTATGCCCTATACCCGATCGGGTAAGTCGCTGAAAAATCAAATCGGATCAACCCGGGAACAAGGCAACATGCAGGGGAGATTTTGACCACGATCGAGTCTTCATACCCGATCGGGTGGCCGACATACCCGATCGGGTATGCCCCAGTTTTTTATACTTCTGCGAAGCAGCCGAGTACCCGATCGGGTACACGACCCTGCAAGCCTAAAAATCCTATAAATACACCCCATTTCCTCCACAATTAATTACCAATTCCTATACACTTCTAAGCTCAGTTTAGTTAAGTACTTTCTTTATATTTTTATCATGTTTAGTCTCCAAATGAGGAGCTAAACTCTTCCATCTTGGTTTTGCTACTTTGAAACTTAATGAATTGTAAGTTGTGAGTTATTTTCTTTAATCTTCTTCCTTGAATATTAATTAATTCATATTCCTATTTCATATTAATATTTTGAGCATTACTTAAAGGATCAACTAGTTTTGTTTCATATATTAATTAATACTAGAATCGGTCGATTAATACGCTTGTTATTAATTCGATCCTTTCACGGTAGTAAACTTGAATTATTAATGCATGCGTCTAATGGTTAATAATCTAAGGGGAATTAATTATATTGATTAAACCAATAACCGCTTGTGTTGAGGTTATCAATCTCAACCGTTTTCATCTTGATTTTATTGCTACTATCGAGTGAATATACTTCGCGTGTTCTATATTGGCTTGGTAGTAAATTTTATTATTGAACGTGTTAGTACCCAATTTTGATAGATTTTGATGATGCCACTATACTAAGTTCCCAAATAGTTCACACTCTCATAATCATGATCTTAAATCAACATAACCAAATAAAGTAGATAATTTATGTATTAAATAAATTATACTGGAAACTTAAAATGCAATAAGATAACTTTTGGTATCTTGAAAAGGATATTCAAATCCTACCAGTATTAATTTACTTAATACATAGATAATCAAAAGAGTGACATAATTAAAGTGTACAACAAATGTATCAAATAATTTTTACTGGAAATTTAAAAATGCAATAAGGTAAACTCGTATTTACCTTAAAGGATATTTAGAAGATCCTTCCAGTACATATTTTATTTGATACAATCTGTTATATTCACTCGCTAGAGTAAACTGAGTAAAATATGGCATACGGCTGAAGACAAGATTGATAGCCATTTAATACCAGCAGTGTACATGGGTCCCTGAACGTGTTGAAATCTCTCCATATAATCTTGAAGTGATCTTTCAGCAGCTAATCAGTGAAGACAAAGGAAATTTCAATATCAGCTCCAACGCAAGAAGATAAGAGTACTCTTCTTTCTGTGGCTAGGATTAAATCCTCTCAACCAACGGAGGAGATTAATCAACTGGAGATGCCTATAAAAGAAGGCAGATGCATGAGGTCTAAAACCAAGTTTTGAGTCTTCTAAGTAGAGTAATCACTTTAAGCATTCAAGAGATATCTAGCAAAGAGAAAGTGCCCATCTAACTTTGCTCTCTGCTTAGACTCATGCTTCACTAAACTTCCTTGCTACATATACTCATTGAAAATCCGAGAAGTTTAGTTTCTAGTTGGAGTTTAGAACTTTCTTGTTTCAAACCATTGTAAACACTTAGGAGAACAGCTGTTCATTTCCTAAAGTATGGTTGAATAGATAGAGTACCCTTTGATCCCCACTGGATCAATTGAGAAAATCTAAAGGTTTGAGTAACTTTGAGTGGTGCTACTCATTGTGAAACACCCTTAATCTAGGCCTAAGAGTTGTAAAGGCTAGATTGGCACTAAGTGTATTGGGCTGAATACTTTAGTGGAAATCCATTTGAAAGAGAATGGGACTGGATGTAGGAGGATTACACCACCTCTGAACCAGGATATACCGTGTGTTGATTTACTCTCAAATTAACAAAGCACACACCAAACACTTCTCACAAAAGGATTGCAGTTTGCCAGCAGCATCCTAAGCAGTAGTCTTAATTGACCTTACTGCTTATCCTTCTGCTTAATTACTCACTCTCCTTGAGATAATCTTTCCTCAGGAACCTTTCAAGTTTAGCAGTTGCCTCGGCAGTACACTGGTCTCCACCCACCCGCTGAGCCCACTGCTCATGCATTCAGTTGACTCAGCAGTACACTGGTTTCCACCCACCTGCTGAGCCCACTGCTCATGCATAGGCATTTCCTTTAAACTCAGTAGTATCATTGTCAAAAAGCCTATCTAACTACCATCTATAACTCAGTAGGAGCCTCAGCAGTACCTACATGTTTACCCAACTGTTGAGCCTACTGCCTCAGTAGACTCAATTGAGTAATCAAGCTCCCTTCACTTCAAGGAGTATTACGCTTTCCAGTTTATCACAAGCCAAATATATTCTCAGCAGTTGTCTCCACAGTACCCTACCATCCAGTCAACTGCCAAGCCCACTGCTTACCTTAAAACAATCTAAACATCACTCAAACTAGAAGGTTGTCTCACCCTGAGTATCTAGAGGTTAAAAGACTTCCGCTGTGCATCCATTAATCTCCCAAAAGATTATAGATAAACTCATCTAGTAGGGAAAAGTTCTTAAAGTTTAAAAAGCTTTAAAAGTCTATTCACCCCCCCCCTCTAGACTTTTACCTCTATCCGGAACCATCAGAATGCGTCTCGTTATTAATAACCACCCTCGATGGATTGGATATACTCCTCGATTGAGTATTCGAGAGGAAGATTGTTAAAGATATAACCGAGACCGACGAACATTTCATTAAGTGGATAAAAGCAAAACCAAGTCCCCATCTCTATTAATTAAACTCATTTAAGTCATTCATCTTAGTGTTAATTAAATTAAATCAAATCAAATCTAAAACCCCCCTTGTTACTAGTTATATAAAAAGAGAAGTATTCCTTTCCTTGTGGATACGAACCTTACTTCGCTATACTACGTATTAGTGTGGTATTGTATTATTACTTTGAGTGCACACCACGACAAAGTGCA